TGAAAGTAACACCGACAGGCAGGGTGGGAGAGAGCAGTGGAGCAGGCGGGCAGGGGCTGGGCACGTACCGTAGCTCCCCGAGCTGTCAGAGGTGTAGCAGTATTTGAGGGAGTCGTCTGTCGTGGGGACCCCTTTGTTCCTCAGTTCCTCGATGGCGTAGATGTCCAGCATGATGTGGTCCTCGTCGCCCGCGCCCTTCCCCTGGGACTTCAGCTGCAGCGGGACGAAACGGAGACGAGGGCGGCGTGAGCGCGCAGCCGGGCAGGAGAGAGCGGCCGCTCCTCCCAGCAACCCCTGCTGCTCACCTGGGCCGCCTTCTTCTCCTCCTCGAAGCCCTCCAGGTCCACGCCCATGCCCCTCTCCTCAGCGATGAGCGCCGTCAGGTCCAGAGGGAAGCCGTAGGTGTCGTACAGCAGCCAGGCAGTGTCCCCTGCGGGCACAGCGGGTATGATGGTCGCGCGAGACCCCAGGCAGTACCCAGAGCAGCCCTGCGTGAGCACGTCGGATCCTCACCTGGGATGGTCTTGCTGTCCCCCAGGCTCTGGATCTTGCGGTCCAGAATGCGCCGCCCCCTGCTGAGGGTCTTGAGAAACTGCGCCTCTTCCTCGTTGATGATGTCCTTCACCGCGTCGGGGTCCTTCTTGAGCTCGGGAAATGCGTCGCCCTGCAGGGACAGAGGAAGGGAGGTTAGAGAGGAGGGGGAGAAGAGGGCACAAAAAAAGCCGAAGGAGGGGAAGAAACAGGAACGCACCAGAGACGTCACCACCACGTCCACCAGCGAGGCAAAGAATCCACGCGGGGCGCCAAGCTTCTCGTGGGAATAGCGCACAGCTCGGCGCAGGATCCTCCTCAGCACGTACCTGCACATGGGCACACACACAGAGACTTACAGCACCGCTGCAAACGCCACACTGACACACTCTGAGCAGCTCACCAGAGAGAACACGGGACAGGACCGATCCCGAGAAATACAGCACCGTCCAGGCACAGAAGCACTGTCCACAACTTAAGGACGATCCG